AACCCATTCTGTGTGCTCTCAGGAGCGAAAAATGCTAAAGAAACACTATTTTGCTCTGTTAATGAAGTCTGTGTGGATAAGTATAATTTGCTTATGCAGAATATATTGATATATTTCTTATCGTCCATTTCATTCCAGTCTGAACATTCCTCAGAAAATATCAAAGGTTTTATGTCATCTCTAAATGAAGAAATGTGTAATGCTCCATGACTTCAGGCACTGATCTTATCCCTGTGAATGGGTGACTAACTGAAACATTAGAATTATAAATGGGAATAATAAATTCTGGCCATAGGAGGCAATAACATGTAACAGCTTAAGCAATCTAGCTCTGGAGAAGAGTTGATCTACAGTAACTAATTTGGTGCAAACTGTAATGTATGCATTTTCTCCTCCATTTGCAAAGAAACAGATGTGTGACTCAACTTTGCTTTTTTCCAAAGTCAATCTGCTTGGAGGAACACAAACAAGATCTGTTTCCAACAGGGCATATTCCAGTATTTCTGTCCCAGTTGGTGTTTTTTTCCTTTGAAGGTGCGAAGTGGGTCTGACTATGGAGCACACAGCAGCCAGGCTCTCATTTTCAGGCTTGGCCCTGGCCTAGAAATCTTTCATCTTAATTTTACCAAAAATTCACTTTGCGAAGAATTTCCAGTTCTGCTTTTCTATCATTTGATGCTGTGGGTCTGATTTTTCTGGAAGCCCTTGTACAGATTAGTGTGAGGAGCAGCTGGTCAGTGTGTGCTGCTGTCTCGAGGCTTGATCCAGCTCCCGCTGGTTCCAGCATCGGCCGCTGTTCCCGGTTCCTGGCATCCCTTCTGCAGCCCCATCGCTCCGGGACCTGGAGCCGGCGCTTTGGATGCAGCAGGCACCGGAAAGCTGGAAAAAGATACTGTTTTGTCTAGTGCTGTTCTGGGGAGCTCTCTGGAAAGGCTTGTGGTTAATCGATACAGACAGGCGGGATAATGAGTGCGTGGAGGAGATCACAGTTGGGGATTCTTTTTAGATTTTCCTATGAATGAGTATTTTTGTCTTGAAGATGAATTGTGAATAATTCCTTCCTCCTGCCCAAGAAGTCTATAGAGCAGTTAATTTGTGTCTATCGTGATGGGGAGAGGAGCTGCTCTGATGTGCTTCACCAGGGGCTGAGTTGCAGAGTGACACATGAGTGACAGCCACTTTATGCTGCTCTTGGAACAGAGATGTGCCCTAACTACAGATTTTGGGTCTGGAATTGAACTTTTCCTGCTTGAAAGGATGTTTGGATCTGGTGGGGCTGGGCTGGAGTATTTGAGAGAGAAAAGCAGCCACAAAATTTGGACACAAGCCAATAGCTTTTGGTTTGAGGATACATCCAGCTTGGAGTCTTGTGTACAGTTAAGTAAGGCAAAATCCCTAGGAATTCCCATCATGTCAAATATTTACATTCTGGGGGCTTTTTTTTTTTTTTTTTTTTTCCCCTGCCGTCTCATCCTGATTTTAAAAATTCCCTTTTCTTTTGGATGGGTCAAAATTTAGGGA